GAGGTGAAGAAGGTGGAGAAGGAGAAAAAGGAGAAGGAGGTGAAGAAGGAGAAGAAGGTGAAGAAGGCGAAGAAGGAGAAAAAGGAAAAGAAAAAGAGGCGGATAAAATTAGGAGAAATGGAAAGAAAGGAGGAGGATAAAGACAAAAAGAGAGAAGAAAAGAGGCAGATAAAAAATGGAAAGAGAGGATAATGATGATAAAGAAGAAAAAGGTAGGAAAAAAAGAAGAAAGAAGAGAAATGGAAAGAAAGGGGGATGATGATAGAGAAAGGAGAAGAAGAAAAGAGGGAAGGGGAAGAAGAAGAGATGGAAAAAAGGGAGATGAAGATAAAGAAGGAGAAAAAGGAAGTATAAGACGGAAAGGGAAGGTAGGAAATGAAAAAGAAGGAATGGAAAGAAGGGGAGATGGAGATAAAGAAAGAGAAAAAAGAAGCATAAGAATAAAAAGAGGGAAAAATGGCAGGGGGAAATGAAGAATAAGGAGAAAAACGAAGCAGAAGAAGAAGAAGAAGAAGAAGAAGAAGAAAAGAGAAAAAAGAAAAAAGAGAAAAAAGAGAAAAAGAGGAAAAGAGAAAAGAAATAATGTAAAATTGTGACTAGAAATGTTTGATCTAAAAAAAGTTATGGAGAAATTTTCTTAATCTGTATTTGAAAGTAGTATAATTAATAAGCAGTGTATCATGGAATTGAAATGACTATAACTGTAATTAAATCATTTGACCAAAAAGTTCAAAGCAAAGAAAAAAATCGAGACCAATCTGCGATTTATGATATAATATATATGATTAGATAAACTTTACTATTCATTATCAAATTATATTCTTTGCCACAAAACAGACACGTTATCCGCCATTAATTAAGTTGTTTATCACGTTCTATTTTGGGCAATAACCCTTGCATGAATTGCCAGAGCCAGTTTATCGCCGAGATAATCCCCGTCAATTTTCATGAACAGGAATTAGCAGGAAATTAGCAAGCAAGTGAAGTGCGGTAAAAAAAGAAGAAAAAAAATGTGTATATGACTAATGGTTAAATGAATTAATCAAATGACATGTTTGACTTTCATCAGGGAGAGATGGAAATGGGTGCAGCTGGGTATTGCTTGTGTGCAGGAAAGGGGGCAAGGGAAGGCAGATATAAGGAATACGAATATGTACATGTCTCTGTAAACACACACACACACGCACTCTTTCTCTCTCTCTCTCTTTCTCTCACATACATATGTGAATGCATACATATACATATATATGCATATATACATACATATATATATACACATCTATATTTACATACATACTTATATGTATATGTATATATATATATATATATATATATATATAATATATATATATAATAATATATATATATATATATATATATATATATATTATATATATATACGTATATTCTATCTATCTATCTATATATATGTATGTATGCATATGTATATATATATATATATATATATATATATAATATATATATATATATATATATATATAATATATATATATATAATATATATATAATATATATATATATATGTATGTATGTATGTATGTATACATATATATGTGTCTTTGTCTATTTGTCTTTCTGTCTAAACCACTTTAGCCCCAAAGAGAGAAAGCTTTCCCATCACTTGTCTCCCAAGTTGCTGTCCTTTATTTATTCACCCCGCCCCCCCCCCCTCCCTCTCCCTTGGCTCATCAGGCGAGGCGCTCTGATTGAGGAACTATCAGAGGATGTTCCCCGTCAGCCTGATTATTGGCCGATGGTTACAGATGAGCTAATTAGTGTTGCGTGATTAGTTTGGTCCTGTCGGAGTCTTTCGGGTGTGGGAGGGGGGGGGGGGGGAATAGGGGAGGAAGGGGGGTGGGCATGGGTAGGACGAGGGAAAGGATGGAGAGGGAGGAGGGGGGGAAAGGGTAGAGAGGGAGAAGGGGCGGAGAGGGAGGAGAAGGAAAGTGGGTATGGGTAGGAGGGAAAGGGATAGAGAGGAGGAAGGAGAAAGAATAGAGAGGAAAGAGGGGGGAGGGGCATGGGCAGGCGGGGAGAAGGATAGCGAAAGAGGAGGGAAGGGAACAGAGGGAGAGGGGGGGGGCGAGGGCATGGGTAGGAGGAGGAAAAGGATGGAGAAGGAGGACAGGGGAAGGAGAGAAGGGAATGGTCAGGACAGGAGCTGAGGGAAGAGGGAAGGGGACACAGAACTGCTGGTTTGGGAGGGATAGGAGGGGCAAACGGAGAGAAAGAAGGAGGGAGGGAGAAAGGGAAAAGATAGAGAGAGAAGGGGAGGGAGAGAGGGAAAGGAGAGAGAGAAGGGGGAGGAGAGAAGGAAGAGAGAGAGAGAGCAGGGTGGAGGTGTGGGATGGGCAAAACGAAGAGGGAAGGGGGAGGGAGAGAAAGAAGGAGGAGGGAGGAAAAAGGAAGAGAGAGAAGGAGGGAAGGAAGAAGAAAAAGAGATAGAGAAAAAGGGGAGGAGAGAAAAAAAGGAAGAGAGAAAATAAGGAAGGGAGAGAAGAAAGAGAGAGAGAGAGAGAAAAGGGGAGGGAGAGAGGGAAAAGGGAGATGAGCTAGGGTAAGGCGGGGAGATGAGTTGGGGAAGAAGAAGGCAGGGGAGAGAAGTCAAAGGGGGAGAAAGAGCGATAAGTCGAAAGGAGAAAGGGGAGGAATAAAACAAGGAAAAGGAAAGGGAAGGGCGGGTGTAAAAAGAGGGGAAGGGACAGGGTGAAGAGGGGGGGGAGGGTATGAGTGGCAAGGGGTATGAAAAGGAATGCAGTTGGGGTGACGGAAGGGTATGGAATAAGGAAGGGAAGAAAAACCCACAACACACGAAATAGATTTATTGACAACAGTTACGGAATCCTCCTCGATTCCATATTCGGGAATAAAACTGTTGTCTCACTTATTTCAATAAATCCAGCTTGTGAATTGTGGGTTTTTCTACCATAGCAACAACACGGCAGAGTGTTTTTCTCCATTCAGGAAAGGGTGAATGGAGGAGAAAAAAGGGAGATGTATGGAGGAAGGGATGAAGAAGGGGGAGATAGGTGAGGTGAAGGGGAATGTTGGGGGAGGGGGGAGGAGGGGGATGGGTGTCGACGTCTGATGCTGGGCAGAAGGGACGGCTGCGCGATTAGGCCTATACGGATTAGCTATTCATGTAAGTAATTGTTCTGATTGGCTCAGAAAAATTAAGCATTT